TGTTTGAGTGGGTGTGTACTCCTTGCCTTGCCACGGATGTGGCGCTAATCGGAGTGAAGTTACACATGGTGCTACATTCGCCAGCAGCAAGTTATGACTTAGTTATCATTGCAAGCACAATTCAAATAATATAGACACACCGGACGCAGCCTCTCTCACGAATCAAACATCAGCAGCCGATAACATTAACGCTAGAAGCAAGCCCATGCCCACCTGCAGCAGAGTGCCCACCACACAGCCTAACAACTCTAAATTCGCTAGGATTCATTGGGGAAGGGAAGCAGCCACTGCTCCTCGCTGTCAAATTAACAATCTTATTAACCACTGCCTATTTTGGCAGTGGAATTCAGAGCACCGACCGTGTTTCATCTGTTAAAGAGATGAAGCCACTCGAAAGTGGTCCGAGCCGTAGCACATGATTACTGTCGCGAACGGAGTTCCTTTTTACAAAAAACATAGAGCAGGAGAAAACTGAACCTCCCATCTACAGTATCTTTAGATTCTTCGAATCGTGACATGTTATCCACTACACCATTTACGCCTGTGCTTCACATAGTGGAGCATTTGTATCTGTACATGTGTCACACACATACCGCTTCGCTCTGTTCGCTCATATGCACCGAGCATTTTTCCAATCCCCGCAGGGATTTTACAACTATACGGAGTACCGATAGTAACTATCTTCAATGGCAAAGCTGTCGCTAACTTCCTCTACCGTGAGCTATCTAAAGGTAAATTGATGACATTCCTTACTTTTTGCCATACGTTAACACCAAATTGCCATCAGAATGAATATTGATAATGATTCAGTCAGATATTACACAATTCCAGCTACATTTTTATTGAAGTAATTCTTATTTAATATCCGTGGAACAGGAAGTATTACTAAGCGTCTGAGTTATCATCTCAGACTTTGCTTACAGCAGCTGGAGCTGCAGTATTTCTGCCCTTAGTCTTACCTATTTTCGATGAATAAATGTTCTCTGTTTAATCCTGTCCATCATTCCTCAGCTGTCAGCCTTTCTCCTTGCTTACTCCTCACTGCAGTTAAACTGTTTTGATGTATTTAAATCAAGAATTCATACCAAAAAAAGCAATAGTGCTGGAAATAAATTGAAATTATTGGAAACGTGAATGCGGAAGTTGGAAAAAACAAAGAAATTAAGCAAAAAAGAGAAAAGTGATGAGAAAGGGCTTAAAAATTATGCACTATTAAAAAAAGAAGCCTCAGTCAGCAGCACAAAAAAAAACTGTGTGAAGCTGGGCATCTTATCCGAAATAAACTTTTGGCTCTGGCGCT